CAGGGGAGTTTTCCCCTTAGATTTGGAGTGAGAGGCTTTCTTCTCTACTTCTTCCTCCTCTTCCTGCTCCTCTTCACTACTCGTCTCTAACTTATCCATGTCCTGAGAAAGCAAGACAAGAATGACGTCAAAGCGTGCCGTGTAACTAAACCTTTCTGCAAAATTATCTCGTGTATCCAATTCCATTTTAGAATTCCTGGCTCCCAGCTGTCTAGCCAGAGGAGCTGGGGTGCAGCGGATACAGCGCAGTCCAACTGTATCATTGTGTTCCACAGATCTGATTTCGCTGGCTCTTCTCCCATCACTAGAGACCCCAAGGGGGTGGAGGTTACTTTCAAACAGCTTAGCCTGGCAGTTTATACCTGGTGCTTCACCTACCTCAAAGTCACTGAGGTCGCTGTCGTCTGCTTCCACAAACTCTCTTTTATCCACGTCCTGTAAGAAACAAAGCCAACAGCTACTACCTGCGCACTGAGCACAAATACAGTGTCGTGACTCGCAATGGAAGAGCCACCAAAGCCACAGCTTGCACACATGTGTTTTTTCTGAGTTTCACCTCTCCTAATCTGTTCTTCTCACCCCCATGTTCACGCTACGGTGCCCAGCACGTAGGGGAATCAGAGGTGCTGCACCAGGTCAGGGAAGGATTGACTGCGGTGCTGTGGCCGACAGCATTACCTCGTCATCATCTTCTTCCTTCTCTGCATCGGACTCGCTCTCGCTTTCTGCATCTTGCTGTTGCAGAGCTTTGTCAAAGGCGTGAATGGGGAAATTGTAGATGTCTCCATACTGAAAAGGAAAATGCAGATTTTCTGTAAGCCCTGGGAGGGAGACAGCCATTGGTGGTAGGGCTGTCTAAAGCGCATGGCCTCCACAGACGCAGCATCAAAGTAGGCTGAACTTGTGGCTCAGCCCCTTCCCTAATTCTGAAGTACATGCCTCCTGTACAGAAAACAAAGGGCTCTGCCTTTTGGGGAAGCAAGTCCTGTTATAAAGCCATGCAAGAAGGGCAGCGAGCAGCCATCCCCTACCCCTCCTGCACGGGTGGTGCCTCTCTCCTACCAACACCCGTGTCCCTCCCAGAGAACCAGCAGGACAGAGGGCAGTCGGAGCAGTTTTACTGCTGTGCTCTGGAGGCAGCGGGTCCTTACCGTATCCTGCTTCAGTCTTTCCAGTAATTCCTTCTCAATGGCGTTATCCAGCTGAGCGGCAATCAGGGCCTTCTCCTAATGGAGCAAAGAGGAGCTGTGTCAGTTGGTTGAAAGACACGTGGAACAGAAGCAGCAGGCTGGTGATGACACAAAGGAGTGGTGTTACCTCTCTCCTCTTCTCTCGCCTTTCAATCTTTCTGCGTAAAGGAACGAGCTTCCTCCTACAGGGGACAACACGAGCTGGTCAGCGAGTCCGTCAGCCTCTTGTGTAGCGGGCGAGCAAACGCTCAACCAGGGCAACAAGCAGCAGTTACATCGTTAGAAAGGCGGCCACAGCCAGTGTAAGCGTGTTTATACACGCAGACTACGCTGCAGTGAAGTCCATTTTGGCCAGGTTCGGGTAGAAGCCCGCTGAGGAAGGCAGCTAGGCACCCTAGGGCTCTGCCTACAGCCAGCGACAGCGGCTCGGGGGCGGGCAGGGGCTGGGTAAGGCAAACCGTGATGGCTCTGCCTCGTGTCACGTACTGTCGCTTGAGCGTCAGCTTCCGGATGCGGATGAGGTACTGCGTGATCTTGGTAAATCGCTGCTTGCATTTGTGTCGGATGAAGCGCGGCCAGTAGATGAGGTTCTCATCTATCTCTTCCAGCGCCTTCTCATAGTTCTTGCTTAGCAGGACCTGGGGGGGGTGGGGGGGAAGGGGTTGAGCTACGGAGCGGGGACACATCTGCACTTGGGGGGAGTCCCACTGCTCCCTGCCCTCCACTCCCGCTGGGTAAATTATGCTTGGTGAGCCTCGTTAACTCACCCGCTCCCAGAGTCGACGGGGAAAAGCCGCCCGCTCTATCGTCTTCATATACAGGTAACACCGACCTAACGAAGAGAGGAACGCGATTGCAGGAGAGGGAGGGAGCGCTCGGGGTGCCCCCAGGCAGGCGGTTTTCGCCCCCTCCCCACCCCCAAGGGGCTGTTTGTTGCGGTGGACTCTCACCTTTCTCCTCCCTGATGGTCGCGTACTGGCTGTTGGCCAGCGGGCAGGAGGAACGGTTGCACAGACCCGTCAGGTTGTACTCATTGCGGCAGAAGTTTTGGGTTTTTGTCCTGGAAAGAGAGGGGAGGTAAAGGGGAAGGGTGGGAGCACACCCCCCCCACCCCCCCCGCGTGCCCTGCCCCACACCCTGCCCCTCGCAGCCGCCCGCGCTGTCCCCTACGCGGGGTGGCACAGGGACAAGGGGAACGCGCCGGGGCCTGAGGGGCACCCAGATTTGTGTGTGTGTCCCCCGCTCCACTCCTTGCTGAAGCACCCCACAGCCCCCCCGGGGGGGCAGGGGGGGGGCTCAGCCCGCAGAAACTCACGTTATCTTGTAGGAGCAGAACTGCCTGTTCCCCAGCGT